GCCATATTGAATTAATTCGATTTAAGGAGTATTATAGGATGCCCAGGGGGCATGAGCACATTTTGTTTGTATTTTCGAGCGCTTTTCGGGACATTTTTTCTTAAAGTTTTCTTAGAATAAGATTGTAATGGGAAAAAAGATCCTTGTGCCGTGTTTGGATGTAATAATGATCTTCTTCTTCTAGCTTAGTATTAGAAATATGGTCTTTCACTGTATATTTCTCGGGAAAAAGGCGATCATTATTACATCCAAACGCGGCACAAGGATCTTTTTTCCCATTACAATCTTATTCTAAGAAAACTTTAAGAAAAAATGTCCCGAAAAGTGCTCGAAAATACAACGAAATGTGCTCATGCCCCCTGGGCATCCTATAATACTCCTTAAATCGAATTAATTCAATATGGCCGCCGTATCGGTAAAAAGGTCTATTGTTCTCACCTGATTACACGCTTTGCCACAAATGTCCGGCGCTGTACATAGGAGCACTTTTTTTTCTATCATCCTTAGTTCTACACTTCTAGAGGTGGAAGCGAGGAATAGTCTGACAAAGTAAGATTTTTGTTGCAATTTTCCCACAACCCTTTTTTTAATTGCCCTTCCTTACTTAGTTCCACACTTCTCAGTGTTGTGGAAGGGTGAAATAGTTTAAAACATTAAAGTAAGGTTGATATCGCACTTTTTCCTTGTCACGAACTTTTTGTCATTCTTTACTTTGTTACACACTTCTGGTGTGTATAAGTGTCACTGGACATGGCTCCGCTTGGTGAAACAAGGCTACAGTTAAAGGTACTAAAAAATGGGCAAAAAAAACATGCCACTTGTCTTGCAACATTGCTGAAAAACGAGTTGAACAGCGATGTTGCGCGTTTTACCACCCACATCAAACCTGTCTTGCAACAAATCAGGTTGTTAACAAGTTTAAACGTGGGTAGTAAACATGACTGGTAACATACCTTTTCAACCCGTTTTGCATCAATTTGCAAAACAAGTTGCACGTTTTTGTTGACCGTTTTACCGAAGCTTAAGCTGACCGGATGTCACAACTTTAGTTTAGAAGGCATGGTTGACAGAAGGAATTCCTTATCCGACCATTTTCCTTACCTCAGTTCTTCAATGTAAAGCCAGAACTTTAACTTGCTTTAGCTTTACAACTAAGGTACCAAACAGAAAAAAAATTCAGATGAAACTACAGTGAAACCTCCGTGTTTAACACCAAAATTTTCCCAGTCAAAGCCCTATAATCTGAAGAACCTCTCGTGAACCAGCACCTGACGGTTTTATAGTTTTTCCATTTCTCTTGACGCATTTTGTGGTCCCTTTATTCGCTATATGTACTACACCACTCAGATTATTTGAAGAACTTTCAGTGACAACATGGAACTCAGAAACGGATAAGTAACTTAGAAATCACATGCAATAAATTCTCGGTCACAAAGTAGATAGCTAGGTCGGGACCTCTTCTCGGAAGAGACTCCGTGTGGTTCGGTTCTCGTAAGCGACCATCTCCCGTAAGCTACCACTAGATCTTCGCATTTTGGCTGGTTGCTTATGGGAGGTTTGACTACAGTCTCCAATTTATTACATCGCACAACCAGACAGAGCATATCTGAGAAGTGATCTCAAAGTTTTGTATTAATAAAGGAGGTTGTTTCATAAGCTTATTTCTTATCCACGGTTCATACAAACAATTGCAACCATTTTCTAAGGACTTTTCGAGGACTTTTCAAGGGCCACATTTGATTTTCAAGAACCACCTTGTAGGAATATAATTTCACAGATTGTACGTATTTTACGTGTTTTATTGCATAAAACATTGAACACTGTACGTAAGTAAACCTTTACATTCTCTTAGTTATGATTTTAATATCATGAGTGACGAATTACTCCTTAATTTTGGCGCGAAATTTCAGCGATAATTTGTAATTTCACATGTGAAATTACAAAATTGCCATGGCAACCTTCCGTACGTATCAGTGTCAAGATGGCGACGAAGTTTTGAAATGCCGTGAATGAAGATACCAGAGCACAAAAAGACGCTTTAGAAAACCTGAACACACAAGAGAACATCAAGAAGGACTCTAAAAGGTATTTTGCCGAAAAAGTCTGAAAAATTCTGAACTTTACAAGCCAAATTTAAGGTCTAAACATTTGAGAGAGTGGAGTTCTCGATCGATATGATCCAGGATAAACATGTCAAAAATCCAAGACTGCTAACGTAATTCGTCACCCATGATATTAATAGGTAATCAGATGGTATACTCGTGAAATTAGGGAATAATAATTCACTCGTCACCATTTGCTTACACAAACATATTTTGTCTTGGACAATCAAAAAGCATCAAAAAACACTTTCGAGGCCACTACATTCAAAGTTGAAGAAAATTGAAGGACTTTTCAAGGTTTCAAAAGTGACCACCTGTACAACTGAAACGGTTAAAAGACAAATAAACAAAAAAAAAGACAAAGCAAGCAGTATTATGATATAGCTTTCATCACAGAAGAAAGCTGCTCGGTGCAAAAAAATTGGTCAACACGCGGTAAAGGCTACTAAAAAAAATGAGAACATAAAAAATCAACATGCCAACTTAGCAAAATCTCAGGTGCGTCTAGAATCTAAACAAAGTCTAAATAGGAAGAATTCGACTTCACAACAGTATTATGTCACCAATTATTTTCTCGAGAACTCGATAACATGAAATCGCCGCATATGAAAGAAAATATAATGTATCAAATAGTACCACTTTACACTACCCATCTCACTTTTAATCTTTTGAGTTAATTATCAACTTAAATCCACTTAATCACTGGAACTGACCGGACCCTAAAGGTTATGTTGCACGGGACGATTCACAACAACAATTTTTAGCGCAACACAGCATTGCAGTACTGGAGCAATGTTGTAACCATTCGAAACAATGTTGCAACAATGTTGCAACGCTGTGTTGCGCTAAAAATCGTCGTTGTAAATAGTTTCGTGTAACATCACCTTAAAAACAATCCGCAAATGAGCATGCAATACAAGATTTGTAACCTTCTCAACCTCTCCAAGGGCCCCAGTATCCTTTCTTACGCGCCATTTCCATGGCTTTTGGGTCAGCGGGTTTTTTACCCGGAGGGACTACCCCCTTCATGTAATACTGTACTCTGTCCTGTAACTTCTTTACCACATCCGGGAGTTGCTCGCTGAGGTCAGTGTGTTCATTTGGATCAGCAGTGATGTTGAATAGGGCAACTTTGATGTTATCATCGAAATTCTGTTAACCAAATTTAACAATGATCAGCTGCTATCTCGTACAAAGGCTCAGTAAAACAATTTACGTTTGAAGGCCAAAGCAGTTTTTAGAACTGATACATTACTGTGTAAAATTATTTTTTCTTCTGACAGGCACACTGTTATTAAAACCACCTAATGTAAACTTCCTCTTAAAAGCCTTAGGCTTATACAACTTCGTAAGGGGTTTTAGGAGAGCTTATAAACGGAGGGGCTTATATCCGAGGGGGCTTATATCCGGAGGGGCTGATATCCGAGGGGGTTTATAACCAGGGGGGCTGATATCCAAGGGGGTTTATAACGGGAGGGGCTGATATCCGAGGGGGTTTATAACCGGAGAGGCTTATATCCGAGAGGGCTTATAAACGGGAGGGGCTAATAACCGAGAGGGCTTACATAACCGGACTCAAAACAAGCTACATGACAGTGCTGATCAAAATACGTTTTGAATTCACTCGCCTTATTGAGCCTCAAAACGACGTCAAAATCGAATTTATTTCAATACAAGCTAGAGGGGGGCTACTGGGGGAGGGGGGGGGGTTGATATAACCGAATGTATTTTTTTGTTTACAGGTATGCGGGCCTATAAATGGGGGGACGGGCTTATAAGTGGGGTGAGGTGGGGGGCTTATACGCGGTAGTAGTTAATGGTATTCTCATATATTCTTTTTGCGCTTCAGGCTTACTATACTGTCAATGTACATCAGCGTACTTTGAGAAAAATTTCTATGCATGATTTCCTGACTTTTTACCAATTTCTCTCTCAGTTCCTGTGTAGAATTTTCAAACATTAACAGTTGTACAGTTTATACAACTACCCTTGCCTCCCCAACAAACACCAAATACCACTTTCAAGCAGTGTTAGAACCTGAACGACGCTTTATAAAACCACGTGTGAAACAGCAGTTTTCAATTTCAGTCATTGAAGTCGCTGGTAAGATTTAAAATGGGAAAGCTGGGATGATGCAGATGTTATTTTATTTTTTCACCATGTTCTTCGTTTTCTCAGGATTGTATATATATCATGGAAAGATCCCTGAACGAATGAACTCAGGGGTGTTAAGTATATCACAAAGAATTAAGGGTGATACGTATATTACGGAAACAAATTGGACGCACCTTTCTGACTTCATTAGTTAAATGCGGGAGTAATTCCGGCGGTTTGTACCACGTCAGATTGGGGACGTTCATTAACAGCTTCATGTCATCAACACGGATTGCAATGCCTTCATAGCCGGGGGGATCAATTTTTGAGAAGTCGCTTTTGCTTGAAGGCAAATCAATATTGTGTAGAATCTCTGTTCTTGGCGACGCAGTTCCTTCAGATATGCTGTGCCAAATGTTGAAGCCATCCAGTGGAGGAAGAGACCCATCGTCTTTAATGCCTAAAAAATTGGAATTGAGTAGAATTTATCCAGAGGATACTTCTATCCACCTTTTGAACAGCTGTTGCTAGGTGTAAAATCAAAACCCATGTGAAAAACACAAGGAAACTTAAAGGTTGTTTACCATTGACATGGGCAAACCAGTCGAAATGCAAGTCAAAGTGGTTTGGGCATGTATTAAGATCATCAGGGCTTGCCAAGACGATTTTACAAGGAACAGTGCAAGGAGGGAGAAGAAGGGGCCGACAAGAGAAGCGTTGGGGGAACCATATCGCTGAATGGACAGGGTTGAAGTTTTGCAACGTCGTAAGAGAAGCTGAAAACAAAATAATTTGGACGGAGAGGGTTGCCACATCCGTGGCGCCCCAACGGTCATTGACTACGGGATAGGTGCAGGTGCAGGTGCAATGGTAAGTAAAATTCGGGACTAGTAAATTTCTTCCCGGAATCGCGTTTAGCATTTTGTACAAATCACCTTAATTTATCGCAAAATGGCCGCGAAAGCCCGAGAAAGGTGTCAAAGATGGCTTTGAAGAAATGGAACATGAATGTCCCTTTAGAACAGGGGTACTTACCATGTACATGGGAAAACCGGAGAATCCTGTTGCAAAATCAAATGGTTCTCACCATTCGGTTTATTGAGAAGCTTCAGAAAATATGGGCTGTAATTTGAGGCGATGCAATTTTTCTACACTTTTCAGTCTGTTCAGTTGATTTCGATATAATTTGTGGTGGGTCATTGTCCCACCACACCAAATTCTAAAGCATTATGTTCATTAACAAGATTTCCACCAGGGTTGTTTGTGTAAATGGTAAGCACCACCCCTGGAGTACCTTTTCAGACGTTCCGCTGCTCCTAGAAATTTTCCTCTGGAACGATCCAAATAGCCTACGAAAACATCCGTTTCTCCTCTCTCTTCGCCGCCGGGGACTTTTCGCGCGGAGGAACGTCTGCGACTCAGCGACAGAAATTCCATACTGATGACAAAAAATCTGTCCGGAATCCGGTCAAAAGCGATGATTGGTCGATGGAGTAGTTACATTGTTTTAGCTATTGTGACAGACAGAAGACAAAAGGCCACAAAGGTCAAAATATAACGGGAAGAATCTCTAACAAAACAGTCAATATTTATGGAACATAGTTTTCTCTAGAAGAAGCATTTGAGTTTTCCTGGAGCTCGTTGGCAGATAAACACGACACTTTCCCAAAATCGACCAGGAGAAACGTAGAATTGGACAAATTTATATTTGGAGCCCCATGACTACCGGATTTATTATGTAAACATTGATTCGCGTCTTCAGTACGGAATTTCTGCCGCTGAGTTGCAAACGTTCCTCCGCGCGAAACGTCCCGAGCGGCGAAGAGCGAGGAGAAACGGATGTTTTCGCAGGCTACGACCCCAAAAGTAGAGTTTGGCTTACTTTTCAACCGGATTTTTCGGAAACGTTTTGTAAATGGTCCAATGAGTGGCAAACAACCTTAACTTTACCTGCCAAATAGAGAAGGGTTGGGTACCAGTCTGTCACGTGAAGGAGTTCTTTGCACTTGACGCCAGTTCTCTGAAGCATTTTTCCATGGACAAATCCAACTCCTCTGACCCCTCCCTCCCACAGGCTGCCTTTGTATCCACGGAGGGGCCAGTTATAACCTCCGCTACTTGGAATACCTCCGTTATCGGTAGAAACAATCAACAAGGTGTCGTCCCATAGACTACAAGAAAATAGGCAACTTGATAAATAGTATTATTATACACTGTACTCACTATCTATCTTCTCATTGGCTAAGATCCTCCAGTTAATTTTAAAAATCAGCGTAACCTACAGATTGGTTAGTTATCTACTAGCAGATAACTGACTAACCTGTAGGTTGCGAGCGCAATGCATGATTTCCAAAAGCAATGCGACGGTGTATTTGTAGTTGTTTGTTCCAAAACATTGTATAATAAAACAAGTATTAGATTCGTTAAGTGTTATCAGCCTCGGCCTTTGACTCGGCTGATAACACTTACCTCGACCTTGGATATTCCGGATATCACAAAAATCTCATCCAATAATTGCCTATTACTGTGAAAAATATTACAAAATAGTTTTAGGTTAAAGGGGTTATGTCATGGAGGGTTCCATGATCAATAGCGCATAGATAGAATTAGCGCAAAATTTTATTTGGTTTAGCGTACGCTCAAAGCATTGCCAACTGAAGAAAGATTGCTCAAGATTTCTGGAGAAGCCTTAGACAACGACGAATCCATGTATTGGACTTTTCAACTCCATTTTGGGAGGTCAAACGAAATTCGTTTTAACAGTTGGTGTTCCGAATGGCTGTGATCACTGAAATCTGAGCGATTGTGGCAACTGTGGAGCGGATATATGCAAACGTCTTTTTCAGCACTTGCTATCAATTCGACGATCATTAAAGTGATGTATCCATATAATCGCTACGATTGGTGAACTTTTCATTCAGCGCTCGCACCGATTTAAATAGCCGCAGCTAGGTCAATTGAATAATAAAAAATTGAAGCCTGCGTGGTAGACAGATGTTCAGCGCGAGTGAAATGATTCGTTCGACAGAGGAGGGCACGCACGACACACTCCCCTACACGCACCACCTCCTACCTTGCGCCGTAAATGTTTTATGCGCTTGCTACGCAGGCTACAATCTTGGACAAAATAGACGGAACATTTAGACCCTCCCTTCCCCTCCCTCTCCGCAAATTAAGGATGGGAAAAGGGCGCGTTTTGACCTTCCTGAGGCTTTGTACTTGATTCCTGGGGGGATGGAGGATTGCTGTTCCATTTTATTCTGTCCAATATTGTAGCATAACCGAGTAGTTGAACTCAGACTAGGACTGGAACCCTGGACACCGGCCGAATTGAAACGCAGCAACCTAAGCCGCCAGGCTTTGCTGCCTGTTTATATCGCGGGGATACTCCTAGGATTTCTTGGTGGGATATGCCGCTCGGTCCTGACCCTATTTCAGACCAAATAATATCATGTCCAACACCTGTTTTCAGACCTGGCCTCTACAATCAATACCCGTTTTTAGACCGAGGAAATTATATCATTATTACTTAGATTTGGTTGCCACAAATGATCTCTTCAAATCCATATTACTCTTTCTTTCTTATTCATTTGGAACTCAAACGACAAATACGTTCATACACACTCGTAGTTCCCTCGAAAACCACACCCTATTCCAGATCAAACGGGCAAAGTGGACACCCGCTTTCAGACCGATACGGCGTAAAAACCATACCCTGGGGCGGCGCATACCCGTATGGGTGGCGGATCCAGGGGAGGGGCCCGGGTACCCCCCCCCTCCTTATTTTTAGACCAAACTGAGGCCCGAAGGGCGGTATAAAAGTTATTTTGAGACCGCCTCCCGTTATCTCGGGGTCTGAATTACCCCCACCCCCTCCTTTATCTGAAGGTCTGGATCTGCCACTGGGAGCACCCCCGGGAATTATATAGCCAGGTAGGTGGAGCTACTCACCCAGCCTTTTTCATAGCTTGAGTCACATTTCCTATGGCTTCATCCACAATATCAACCATTGCTGCGTAATCTCTTCTTGTCTTATTTTCAATGAATTTATATTTGTCAATATACTCTTGAGGGGCTTCTGTAGGAGCGTGCACACATTGAAATGGTAGATATAAAAACAATGGTCTTGAGGAGTTGTGTGATAGGATCACATTTTCTGCTTGCTGAAAAGAAAAGGTAAAAGGGGAAGATCTTTGGTACCTGCCCAAAGTGTCGGCTTGGCTTGAACTTCAGAGACTACTGTCAGTAAGAGTTTCAACATGTCAGGGGCACCCAACGGGAAATTTTGAGAAAAAGACCTAAATGCAAAAACAAAGCATAGATAAAGCTGTCTGAAACCATTTTAAGCATTTTGGGAAAAATCTATCTGTTCCTCATTCCCAGCAAGACTGATGGAAAGTTCCCAGCCAGCAAGGTGCACCTACAACCTTGAACCTGACTTACTGGGAAGTTTCCCAGGAGACAGGTCATAAAGAAAAATTCAGACTTTAAGTTGGGGGGGAGAGGTATATGACATATAGGCATATGTAGGAAAAACGGTGTTCGTTACTAGATTATTTGGGAAAAGAATATAGAATAAAAATAAGCAGAATGTCACCTAACAAAATCTTCATGTTTCTAATAAACCCCCCTGGCGGAAATGCTAAAATACAAAAACTAATAGCAAAACATATATTCGAATGCTTTGAAAAAAGGAAAGGGGAAGACGGCAAAAAAGTAAATACTCTATGACTTAATTGATTAATAACTTATTAGCCATATATGGTTAGGAATTTTTTGTTGTTTGTACTTTAAGTTATTTGAATAATTGATATACTATTTATTGTATAAGACTCCAAATAAACAAAACATGTATGCATGTATCTATAGGCAATAGCCGCTATTCCTTTCATCAAATCCCCTTACATACCCGGAACTATCTTTTTCTCAGCAAAGCTTTCCTTCTAAGGACATATTATTTGTCCCACATTTCCTAGTCAGCAAAACTTTAGTTGAAGAACAGATATTTTGAGGAACAGATCTGTTGGCCCTGACATGAGTGCAATATTCTTTAAACAAGAGATGAGGCTTTTGGACAAAAACAACGGTCTTGAGGACGTTTTTCGAAAGTTCTTTACAAACGTCCTTAACTTAGGCCCAGATACAGTACGTTCGTTGGTGTAAAATAACCAATGTTTAAGACCTTTCCTAATGGGTAAAAAAGTTAAAAGTGCTTAGGGCTTTCACAAACTATTGCCGGTGGTTTAGTGATAGATCATGGCGAGATAGCCTGCGAAAACGTCCGTTTCTCCTCGCTCTTCGCTGCTGGGGACGTTTTGCGAGGAGGAACGTCTGCGACTCAGCGACAGAAATTCCATACTGATGACGTAAAATCTGTCCGGAATCCGGTCAGAAGCGCTGATTGGTCGACGGAGTAGTTACATTGTTTTAGCTATTGTTTACTAATGACAGACAAAAGACAAAAGGCCACAAAGGCCAAATGTAAACGCAAAGAATCTCCAATAAAACAGTCTAGATTTGTGGAATATAGTCTTCTCTAGAAGACGTATTTGAGTTTTGCTGGAGCTCGTTGGCAGATGAACACAACACTTTACCAAAACCGACCAGAAGACACATAAAACTGGACAAATTTATATTTAGAACCCCATGACTACCGTATTTATTATGTAAACATTGATTTGCGTCATCAGTATGGAATTTCTGCCGCTGAGTCGCAGACGTTCCTCCGCGCGAAACGTTCCCAGCGGCGAAGAGCGAGGAGAAACGGATGTTTTCGCAGGCTAATGGCGAGAAAGTGAAATTCAACGAAAATCTAAATGACTATCTTTATATAGCATGCCACATACCACGAGAGGACAATAGGACAATTATCCTCTGTTAGAGATGCCAATACTATATAAGTAGGCTATATTGTGGCAAAAATGGCAAGAAAAGTATCGTTATAGACGACGCATTTCTAACCAGGCCTCATACGTTTTCCAAATGTCGAGCTTGTTAACGGACGATTAAACCTCTTTTTCTCTAGTTTATCTTGGCAACTTGACAAGATTTCAAAATCACTATCCGAGATCTTTGGGATATGGGTACCTTTTCATTGACTATCTGAGGTCTTCGAGATCACATTGGTATGATTTTTCAAATTGAACCGTGATGGCGATGATCGCCGTTTTAAACAAATTGTAATTGTTGTAACTGATTTGTTTATCCACAGAGCACTTAGGAGTTCTTTTAAGAACTCCTAAGTTCTCAAAAGAACTCGTCGAAGCATGTCCGTGCGTTCCAGATAGAATTGGAATTTGGAAGTGTTGGGTTTTAAGGAGAAGGGAAAAACGGACTACCCGGATAAAAGCCCCTTGGAGCAAGGGAGAACCAACAACTAACTCAACCCACATAAGGCGCCGACGCAAGGATTCGAACCCGGGCCACATTGGTGAGAGGCGAGTGCTCTCACCACTGCGCCAGCCTTGCTCCTCAAACAAGGATTACCTTAGCAAAAAGTCTGGCTGAATATACACCTTCCTTATCTTTAACAGGTTCCTTGTTGTCACGTAGGTCAACTATGCCTTTTCTTTCATGGTTAAAGTGGTCTTCAGCTCCCATGTAAAATCCGTAAAATGAATCAAAGCCGCGGTAAGTAGGAGTATATGGCCATTCATAATATCCAAGGTGCCACTTTCCCACTATATGCGTTGAATACCCTGACGTAAAACAAATTACATTTCTGTTATCGTTGCAGTCCGGCCCTAGTAGAGAGCTGAAAAAACCGGCTGTTTTGTTTCAGTATAGAGGCTAGGAGATTTTTCAAACCACCGGGCTTCATACTCTTTTTTGTCCCTACTATCTGCTGCAAGGTCTCTTAGGATATAACAACTCTAGTTTAGAACTTGTCGCCCTCCGCTACAAACGCAAACTCAAATATCTATTTAGAGTCGGAGTTCTTTTTTTTATCTGTTAGTGATTCAAAGTCTAGCTTATTTAACCTTCATCATCATTATCATTATCGTCATCGTATCATCATCATTATCATCGTCATCATCATCATCAACAACAACAAAATTAATTCAGTATTAGAAACGGGCCCTTACTCTAACTCGCCACACTTCCCTATCACCCAAAAGGCTTGCACTATATACCACCTCATCACCTTCCATTTAAGTACCAAGCAACACCTATGCAGGCCGAGCAGAAATTCTCCTTATACTATCACCTTGATGATGGACAGTTCTTAGTGACAATGCTAATTCCCCACCGTCCGTAGACCATCTTTATTTTTCTCGGACAATATTGAAATTTGCACAGTCATGAGTCATTAAGCCAAGTTCTGCCAACCTCGTTCCAAAAGGGAAAAAGCACTGGGAACGAGTTTGAGGATCTACTTTTCTCACTGCGACAAAACTAATGACTTATGTTTGCAATAAATGTCATACCAGCTTTTTTGAGCTGCTGCGGTAAGGTGGTAAAATTCAGTGGAAGTCCATAAGGCTCTGTAGGACGTATCACTCCATGCTGAAGACCTGAATCGAAGACAACAGTGAAAAAAGAATTTAAAAAATAAGTAATGCTTATTAGGACACGAATGTAATTTTTGTAACTTTGGAAAAGATTAAGGACTTCATCGGGACTCGAACTTCTGACAATATTGGCAACATGATAATTTTCCAGCGAGTTAAAGCGCCTACGCTGTTTTAGGTCAGTTATGCGTTCAAGTCATTACTTAGCGCCTTTACAAAACACAAAATGGTGAAGAAGATATCGAACAAACTACCCAGGTAGCACTATACACCATTAGCTTTTTGTGTGATTTTCGCAGACGTAGCATTAAAACTTGAAAAAGTTCGCCAAACTTTCTTAAGTTTCAATCGGCCGGTGTCCATCCTCGTCATCCATAGCAACAGACGACAGGAAACAATCCGTAATATAGTCATTACTTCAGGGGCACCCAACGACAATTTTTGGAAAATATCTGTACGGAAGACGATTTGAGATCTAGAATTTTCGGAACATTTGTTGTTAAATTTCTTGCTTGCATGCCTCTCCTAGGATTTTCGAACCTCCCAAACATGGTATAATTACCCATTTTTAACGGATTTTTACCGTAAATAGGTCACCTATAATTTTCGGGAGCCTTTTTTCTGGCTGAAATTTTCGAAAAGGTAAGTTTTGATCCCTAGAATTTTCGGATCACTAGACTTTAAGCTAGGAAATCCGAACAGATGAAAAATTTTTAGGGAATAAAAATATGCCTATATCTACCGTTTAAATACTAAAATACGTTCAACAACGCTATGTTTAAGTGGTTTTGAACTACATTCTCGTGGGGTGCCCCTGTTACTTTTGGAATTCAATAAATGGAAGTCACTTTTTACCTTTTTAAACTGATAAAACTTAAAATTGCGTGAAATAACTCCTTTTAAATTGTATGTGTCGCGGTATTCTTAGCCTGTTCCAGGCTCCAAGATAGTGGGGAAAACGGATCAAAAGAAAAAAGTGCGAAAAACCGCGTGAGGACTTGGAAGAGAGAGTGAGGTGATCTCCCCTTCCCCATTCCCGCCGTTTTTCGCTCGCTAGCTTTTTCGCTGCTTGCGCGTTTTTTTCGCTTCTCGTTCGATTTTTTCTCTCATCTACAAAGACCGAGATCCTTACACAGGCTTCTGTATTGTTGACATTCTTGGCACAAAGTTGTTGCCCCACCACCACCCTTGCCAAGAATCAGACAATATCGCCTTCCTACCTCCCCCAGCAACAAAAATCGACATGTGTAATTAGCCAAATATTTTAGTAATAAAATAATGAAATCTTATTCATTAAAGCAAGTACATTATCATACCTGTATGTATCGGGTATCTACCGGATAGAAGAGCGCTTCTAGTCGGTGTGCAAATCGGTTGCACGTAATAGTTATCCAGTATGACTCCTTCAGAAGCAAGCCGATCCATGTTTGGGGTTTTTATTTTGGAGCCATGGAACCCAACATCGCTCCAACCATAATCATCTATAACCACCAGCAAGATATGTAAAGGAGCAGCGCTTACTCGTAGCGCAAACAACGCAAACAGCGCACCAAAAACTGAAAAATAATGTAATCCCATGTCGTAGGATTTTCCGTAAGAAAAGACTCGAGTGATTATTCATTCATGTGACTTGTTAAGTTAAGCATTACCTTTCAGTCTGTCATCAAATAATGTCTGAAATAACATATACGGACATGTTTGACCCGCAGGTCTCTCACCCAGGGGGGGTACTCGGGATTTCAAGTGACGGGGATGATCGAATGGAGCCAAAAGTCAAGATCCAAAAAAATCCCTTGGGCTTCCAACAAAACCCAAAAAAATCCCTGGACCAAAAATTAACCCCCCAAAAATCCCATGTCGATTTTGTGGGAATTCCAGTGACGGTAAAGCCAGTTGACTGAATTGAAGCGGTTGAAGTCTTGTACACGGCCGGGCACCACGGGACAATGCAGACTATTGTATAACACGTGCGATGTAAAGCGACACCATAGTTAACTATTAAACAACAGCAAAACACGTTTGTTTGTACTTTATTCGCAGAACTACACAGCCAGGGCACTAGCTACCCAAAAAAATACTTGCCAAATTTTCGAACCCAAAACAATCCTTCGATCATCCCCGTCACTTGAAATCCAGAGTACCCCCCCTGGGGTCTCTCATGGGTTCAGAGCGTCACGAAACTGAAACAAAAGAAAAAACTGTAATACGGAGGCTCCTAGCCTGTTCCCTGGGACCTGTTATGGAAAATGTCTAAATAAAGAGTTTGCACGGGCGTTCGAACGGGTATGCCAAAAGCATGGGTGTTCGATTACAAAAGAGCCCATAGTAAATTAACTTTCGTCCAATCCTTTCTTGAACTATTAAGGGTCAACGAAAAAATTCCACTTCCCAATAAAATTAACCTGCGATCAGGCGGTCCTTTTTTCCCTTTTTTTGATCGCAGGTTGCATTAAAATTGGCACTAAAATAAGGGGGAATCTCCCAAGGTAAGATAATCAGTAACAATTAGAAAGAATCACATGATAATCACGTGCTCCTACCTTGAGACTACATACCGCTGATACAGCTCTGCTGCTGATATAGCGATATAAACACATAGCTTTCAGTGCCGATCTGTAATCATTATAAGCGATGATTCGCTTTTTCTGGTTTGCTTTCCTTTTTATCGCTGTCGTTTTGGAGACAGCAAATGGCTCCAAGCCTCCTAACATAGTACTGACTGTCATTGATGATCTGGGTTGGAGTGATGTGGGATTTCAAGGATCTGTTATTCATACTCCAAACATCAACAGACTGGCAGCTGAGGGCGTCATATTGGACAACTACTATGTACAGCCTCTATGTACGCCAACCCGAAGTACCCTGATGACTGGAAGGTACCCCATACATACAGGTGATCCTGAATAGAGCCGTATGTTTGATTTTGAAAAAGCTACAATGCCAAATTTAAGACTTGTCACGCTTTGAACACGCTGTGTGAAAAACGGTCTCATAGGAGCCTGTTCACATGCTGTCACGCAACGCAAGCATACCGGGTTTTTTTTTTACCGCGCCACAATGTTATACAATATAGTATTTTCTTCAGGGGCTCGTATAGGGGAGGGTGGCTCGAAATTGAGAGCTACCCCTCGCTGTTTTTACTGCTCACGGCTTATCTTTGTGCCGCCTCCATTATCTGAACGTCTGGAACAGGCCATTGCTTTACCCGCGTCCCAAATTTCGGATAGCTATGTACCGCCTAGGGTCTTGCTTAAACCCTGACCCAATTTTTAAAAGAATGAGTGAAAAAAAATGATACCCTATTTAAAGTGGCCCAAACCCAAAAAATGACATCCTATTCAAAGGTGAATAAAATATGAATTTAAGCGACACACAAACCGTTAATAAAAAAACGAGAAACAAACGAAAAAGGAGGTGTCTTACAAGCAAGTTAAATAGCAAAGTCTTTTACCCCCAAGGTCGCTTATTCAAACGAAGTCTAACTAAGGCCCCGGTTAGGAAATCTTTGGACCTCCAGATCTCTTCCTTAGAGGGTAGTTTTAAGAAAATAAGTGCTTTTCCAGTCTACGCCTCATGTTTTCATGAAACTTTTTACGACAAATGGTGTTAAGATAAAAACATTGGACGAACTGAAAATGGCTTAGAACGCGATTTTGTTTAACACTGGCTAAACTCCGTTTACGTAACTAGCCCTGCAGTGTTTCTATGTCACTCACCTTTCAGTCTTCCAAGGCCCAGATACCGCTGTCACAGTGATTTAGGTTTTCCTCCCGCTAGGTTTCCCCATGCACCTTTCATGGATCTGAATTTTCCATGTGATTCATGGTTAACTTCAATCTGCAGAAGGGTTCAAATGGGCCCTTAAAACGCGCGAGAAGGGAGAACAGGGCGGATAAAGGTTGGGCGATAAAACTAACGGTTCACGGCCTCACACCATTTTGCCCGGACACGCTCGTTTCATCGCCCAACCTTTATCCGCCTACTATCTCCTCCGTAGAGGCCTCTTTGTGTCGAAGAGAGGCTAGGGAGAAAAAAAAGAAAGCGCGCGGGGCACGATGGCAAGGAGAAAAAAGTAATGCCCTTTACTCTCTCTTCCCATTAATTCTCGCGTGTTTACAACTCTTTTGTCTCTGCTAGTAAAAGCCTCCGAAGTGGGAAATAACGTTACGCCATGATAACATTAAACCACTTTTAAGTAGTCTCTTCTAGGCGTTCTTCCCATCGTCCCATCGTCCCCTGCACGCTTGCTATTTTTCGATTATTACTATTTTTAGTGGGATACCCAGGGGGAGCCTCTGCGGAGGAGAGAGATCCACCCCGGGGGGAGAACGTACGTGATGCGGCTATCTCTGTTTCTTTGCTTTCCAGGGCTGCAGCACTTTGTGATTGAGCCTCCGGAGCCTTACGGTTTGCCCCTGAATTTCAAAACTTTGCCAGAAACATTACGAGACGCTGGTAAGAAACGGTTTAACTTTATTATGTGCACTCTACCGATTTGAGAACGGAAAAAACAGGCGCCCAAATACAGGATTTTGTGCAACTCAATCCAACATTTAATATCAAATAATTTTTGGGAGATTTAGCCTCAAAATGCCGAGCGAAAGATTTTTGTTTTACAGTTGAAATATTCTATATTACCTCTCCCGGCTCAGTTGTGTCAATGTCACTTCAGTGTTCAAGTATTGTTTAACCTTCGTAAATTTCTCTCGTTCGTTGATTAACCTTTTAAGCCCCAATATCCACATACAAATTCTCCAAACTGATCTCCATACATTTCTTTAAAGGGTTAGTTGAGAGAATTGATTATAGATCAAGACATTTTCTCTTTGGTGATCATTTTATTAATTCTCATAACTTATCTCTTGAAAGTGTATGGATAACTGTTAAGAGAAAATTGATCTTGGACACTATTGGGACTCAAACGGTTAATCAACGGAGTAGCGATACTAATTATTAAAGATATTTTTGGCCACCGAAACAGAGTTGGTCCCCGTGACTCCTTGATGACTTGACCTTGCCTCTTAAGTTTCAGGTTTTTATAGTGCCTTGTTTATTGGATAGCCTGTGTGACAACCGTTAATTCTTGTGCATGCAAGCCACTTCTTAATTTTGGGCGAGGGGAATAATTAGCAGGGAGTGAGAGGAGAGGGAAAAGAAACCCCCCTCCCCCCTCCCCCCTCATGTTTTTTCTGCTCACCTCAGCTTTTAACAGCAACGAATGAGGGACAGAGCTTAGTCGTTTGATGTCACCTCAGGACAGCCACTCTGTTTGGATAGCACAAGGACAACTTTGAAAAAGCGCATGCTCTTTGGGTTTGTATTCTCATAGGTTACGTCACTCATATGGTTGGTAAATGGCATCTTGGTTTCTTTGAGTGGTCATACACTCCGACCTACCGCGGTTTCGAGTCTTATTATGGGTTCTACACGGGCTGTGGGGATCACTTCGAGCATGAACGCCTCGGGATTCTGGATTTACGGGACGATACCTCCCCTGTGCGGGACATGAACGGGACGTACTCAGCCAACCTCTTTACTAAGGTAAGAAAGAAAAATTGAGAAGTGGAGAAAGTTTATTGATTTTTTGCAGTACAAAAAGTACAGATTAACTCAAAAACGCGGGGGAGTGGGATCTGGCTCTACCTTTACCCCTAGGATACATTTAAGTTTCTAGGACAGTTCTCTTGATTTTAGAGATACCGACCTTCATGTAGCTACTACATCTACAATCCGGATACCACTGAAAAGCAGTCATTTTTTCCTATCCCTTTGGTATCCGTGTGTCCGTATTTAGGTTTGATTTTATGATTTTCTTTATTTCAAACAAAACCGTTTGGTTTATAAGGTTTCGTTCTCTCTATACCTCTTAGCAGCACAAAAGTCCTCTACTGGGCCATTTCTCAAAACTGGGAACTGGAGATAAAAAGCGCGGGGGGCGGGCGCTTGGAAGAGGAAAGAAAAGTCGTGCCCTTTATTCTCTTTCATTATCTCTCGCATGTTTACAACTCTTCTGTCTCTGCTAGTGAAAGCCTCTGAAGTGGGAAATAACGTTACGCCATGATAACACTAAACCACTTTCAAGTAGTCTGTTCCAGGCGTTCGGATAGTGGAGCGTGGCGCGAAGTCAGAGGGCGAGACAAATAAGGAGAACCACTATTTGTTTTTTCTGCTCACATCTCTGTAGTCTTTGCGCGGTGTCCACACGATCTGAACGCCTGAAACATGCTGACTTTCCAGTAGAGAAAACCATTTTTATCTCTTTTATCTTCCAATACACAGCAAGCACTGAAAGTTATCAAGGAGCACAATTCTTCAAGGCCTCTCTTCCTGTACTTGCCGTTTCAAAATGTTCATTTTCCGGTTCAAGCACCGCAAAAATACGTCGACAAATACAGCTTCATCGAAAATAAGATGCGGAGGACGTATGCCGCCATGCTGGATATTGTCGATGAAGCTATTGGTAACGTGACAAGGAGCTTAGATAAAGCAGGGTAATATACATTGAATTCCTTTTACTTTCAGTACAGTTCGCGGAGCGCCGGTTTGCCGCACCTCTAAAGCAGTGGTTTGAACCCCAAACAGAAGCCAGAACAGCCGAGGCCGTCGTCTTAATAAGATTTAGCTTGTAAGGTCGTACAGGTTGTGATGTACTTTAATTCAGTCCACTCTGATCATTTAAAAAAGCAGCAGGTGACGTAGACTCTTGTTGTGTGGTAGAAATCCTCTCCATCGCATATCATTGGAGTTTGCGTCGCGGCCCCTGACATAACTTTATTATACTAAAATGAAACGCTAATTGACTGAGACGGTCCAGTATCACTATATGCTATGTTTGATGGCTCATAAGTGTAAAGATGTTCAAGTATTTGTCAGTGATACTAGGGACGGGGGGCCACTAGGGACTTAAAGATCCAAAGACGCGACGGCAACAAGAACGTCTCTTAAAAAGTGAATTTCCGTTCTTTGAGTCTTTATCGCAATTATTCCTTCCCACTTACCTTGTCAAATGTAGGCGAACCCTCCTGGAATTGAATTCTTAGGGACCATATCCAAGTTCAAAAAGAGAAATTAAATTACGTCGTTGCTTGTTTATGTCCTCCATAAAAAGCGAAAATAGGCATTTTCACGTCGTAGTCGTGCAAAAACGTGCAAAGAAATGTACAAAAACGCGTGATGCATGTGCAAAGTTGTTGTTTTGCTTATAAAACTTATTGTTTTTTTACGTTCTCGTTGCTGTCCGCGTTGGATCTTAAACTCCCTACTGACCCTCGTTGACGTAGCCTGCGAGCAAGCTCTCCCCACTTACAGCAACGGAAACGAGCCGCGAGAGAACGCGGGTGGGAGCGGCGAAGCCACGATGGGCCATCAAACATCCCCGCTCCTCGCACTCGCGTCCCCTTTCGCGAGCGGCTCTCGCGTGACTTCTTGCGACTCCCCCATATGGAGAGCTTGCTCGCAGGCTATCATCGAGGGTATACTCTTAATATTTTTCAAAAGACTCAGTGAGGTGCCATGTAATTTATAGGCACTGTACAAATCACGAACGCGTGAGGTAAAAAAATTATCAATTACCCTTTCAACGCAGCCTCTGGGACAACACTTTGTTCATCTTCACCACTGACAACGGAGGACTTCCTGAGTCAGGAGGTTACAACTGGCCTTTGCGCGGACAGAAGAAAACTCTCTGGGAAGGAGGAGTACGAGGGGTAGCATTTGTCCATGGGCCAATGCTGAAGAGAACAGGCGTGAAAAGTAAAGAATTGCTTCACTCTACGGACTGGTATCCCACACTAATAAACCTCGCAGGTAAGAAGAAGAGGGAGGGAGGGGTACGAAGGGCTGGCTTTTGTACGCGGGTCGATGCTTAAGAGAACAGGCGTCAAAGGCAAAGAATTGCTTCACTCTGCGGACTGTTATCCCACACTAATCAACCTAGGAAGTAAGAAGGAGTGGAAGGGAGGGAGGGGTCCGAGGGGGTGGCCCTTGTCTATGGACCAGTGTTAAAGAAGACTTGCATAAAAAGCAAAGATGGAAAGTAGTGCTTCACTCGACAGACTGGTATCCTACACTGATCGATCGTCGTGATACTTGAGCTTAATCTTCGGTCCAAATGCGGAAAGACGTAATTTTTGTTAGCTTTTGTTTTGTTTTCACATCACAGGTATTCTTTAACTGAGTTTCTAGCAGGTTTTACGAGCGTGAGATCACCTTTAACGGAAGTTACTCCTGAAACACACAAAAATATATCATTGGATTCCGGCACAGCAAACAGGATACTATCCTTAATGTAATAGAACAAAAACGTAAATATTGCAGTTCAAGCTTTGTCATACATAAGACATAATCAAGTCCTTGATTCTTTCAGGAGGAAAAGTCGATAATCATCCTGTACCAGTAGACGGCTTTGATGTATGGGAGACAATTTCAACAGGCAAGCCGTCTCCAAGAACTGAAATTCTCCTGAACATCGACTTAGCACCGAAGGAGAAGCATTACCGAGGGATGGAGTCTATCGACCCCTATTATCAGGGCGCGGCAATTCGTGTTGCAGATATGAAGCTGTTGGTCAGCTGTCCGAATTCCTCTTGGTTCAAGCCACCAGAACTTCATAACAAAGAAACGGTTAGTAATTAAAGGTCTTTTATGCCGAATATTTTTTTGATGAAGAAAATCTCGATACTTTAGAGGAACCGAATTCATGAGTTCCCAAACACTGGTTGATCGCTCTTTCCACTTAGCGTAGAGGAGAATCATGAAGGTCAAGGACAGTAACAAGTTACACATACGACAATTATCATGTTAACAAAAGGATCAACGATTTTGAGAGCGTACTAATTTTTATGGTCATAACAGAAAAAAAATACTAGTGTCGTTAAAAATTAAGGGGCCTTCTGGGTGGTGGTTAGCCTGCGCTACAGACCGAACTAAACTTCTGGTTAAGTCCGTCTGCGAAACAGCGCCAAAATCCTTGTTCTGGGCCCCAGCTGTGTACCAGGATTTGAGTACGCGCCATGATTGGCCTGTTAAAAATGCCATTGTCGATTTGCCAGTCAGGTACAAGGAATGTACGATACGCACTTCCGGCAATTCGTTGAGTTCCCTGCTTCGCAGACGTTACTTACCGGGGTTAGATTAACTGGATTACGTCTGTGACGCAGGCTCAGAGGTGATGTGAAGTTTTCGTTACCATCCGCGGAATAGAAACAGTTGACAACATATATGCATATGGGTGCTTACAATCCACCCGGATGGAACTTTTGTGCATCAACATAAAACTATAAAATTTGACGTGGAGAGAGAACGACTCGCTACAAAGTATATCCAGGTCAGCTGAACAGACAAACAAGAGTTGAAAAATTGTATCGCATCGAAACAAAGCCGGTATTTTCTAAAGCCTTCCCACGCGGGATGGCGCGAATCATTTGATTTTCCAAACAAAATTTGGTGTCCCTTGTAAATGGTAAGCACCCATAATCTCCAACAATTGAAACTTTCTGTTGTTTGGCTCCGAGGAAGGGACATCTTACAGCGGCACCTAGTCCGTGTATTGCCTTTTTTTTTTCGTTTCGTCTAATGTTGTCTAAAGACGATTGCCTCTTTTCCGTCATTTACAGAATTCTCATGCGAGAGGTTTAATTGAAGTTGCTCTTTACAATGTTACTGCTGATCCTACAGAACACAATGACTTAAGCGAAACATTGCCTGACGTCGTCCAAAAATTGCAAGACAGACTGGAGTTTTACAAACGTAGCGCTGTACTCCCTCTGAACAAGCCTGCGGACAGTCAGGCTTGGGATGTTGCGCGGAAGAATGGCATTTGGACGCCTTGGAGAAGCAAGGTGGAAGAGGAAGTCCAATAAACATAAGATTTACATGGGGACATATGTGGAATTTGAGGTGTTAAATATGGGATTGTCTCAATAAGGGGTTAGCGAATGTTTACCAAAACAGTGGTTATAATATATAAAAATGTCAACTTAATTAATCTTAATGTTGTTTCGTTGTGCTTTTCAAATAAATCCAGCTTGTTCAAGAGCTTCTGTCTTCATGACATACATTATGAGAAACATAATTTTTTTGTTAAAATCTGCATTTGTTACCAGGCGCGAAACCTGTAACTTCAAGCTCTCCTAAGATATATTTGGTAATTACAGGAATCGGTGCTGAAAAGAACAACAACAAAAAAGTCAGCATCAGAATAAGTAAAAAGAAGTATTTTGAAAACAAATAACGTTGCCACTTCAAAATAAAAAAGCCAGATTATGTTAGCCGTGCTAAATTAACATAAAAGCCAAAAATTACGCTCGGTTTGCTAAATTATGCCAAAAATTATGCTTGCACAATCGACAAACCCTAGACGGCCCCAGAGTAGTTCTGAGTGACAAATAGAAAGAGTCACATGGTAGTCACGTGTTCACTTACCGCTGATAGATAAATCCAGAGTATTCCATATTTCTGTAATGAAGAAGCGATGCTTCGCTTTTTCTCGTTTGCTTTCTTTTTTATCGCGGTCGTTTTGGAAACATCAAATGGTTCCAAGCCTCCTAACATAGTACTGACTGTAATTGATGATCTGGGTTGGAGTGATGTGGGATTTCAAGGATCTGTTATTCATACTCCAAACATCAACAGACTGGCAGCTGAGGGCGTTATATTGGACAACTACTATGTACAACCTATGTGTACGCCAACCCGAAGTACCCTGATGACTGGAAGGTACCCCATACATACAGGTGACAAGACAAGACTTTAATTTATTTGGGTTCTTATACCAACTTGTACATCGACTTCTTTTAAACATAATAATTTAAAATTACAATCTTC